TTGTAAAGGCACATCTGTGCTAGTGCGATAGTTTGAAGCTTCATCCGCTGCTGCAGACTCAATCGAATTTCTATTAAAAATAAAAAATAAAAATTAGAATAATTTAAAGTATAGTCAGGTTGAGGCCACGCAATGAGCGGCAAAGCGGCAAGCGCCTCAACGGCTGAGCGGCGTCATACAAAAATGCCGCTCAGCCGCTCAGAAATGCCGCTCACAGCATGGCCACTTCAATAGTATCTCATATGTTTTAATTAAGCCGCAGCCGCTCAGCCGCTCGCCGCTTTGCCGCTCATTGCGTGGCCTCGGACTTAGTCGTGTATATCGTCGCCTGGGTAAAATATTGTCGTATGTTGATTTCGGCAGGTTGTGGGAAATCGCGATTGAAGTTTGGAATGCAATTTCTCAAAAACGCGAAGATAGATTTTCTCCAAAGTCTCTGAAAATGTTACTAGTTCACAAAATTCTTAAATTATTTAGTTTTTAATGTTTATTGTTAATTAGTCTTGAGTTTATGAAGAATTTTTCTTAGTCAAATTTTGTCGTAAGCGTCACTTGTCCACAGTTTGGCAGCCACTTTGTATGAAATACTCAATATCTCGGAAACTAAAGGAGATATCCAAAAATGGAGAACGCCATTTTTAAGATATTGATTAGTTTAATATGACTGCATCACCAACTAAATTTTTACTAAATTATCGAAAAAGTTGTTGTAGTCAATATCTCTTAAACTAAAGGAGATATCTAAAAAACTGATAACACCAATCGAAAGACTTTATTTCAAAATATATAACTGCATCTAGAACTAAAAATCGTCAAAATGGCGCTTACAACAATCTTTTACCCAGGCGACGATATGTACAAACATACATAGGTATGTAAGTTGTTGTCAGTGTTGCCAGGTCTTCGGCATGAGAAAACGGCCCTCTTGGTCTGAAAAAAACGTAATTTTCTACCCAAAAACCTCTTTTTCAAATGTATGCACACAGAATTGTTCTTATTAAACTTTTATTGTATACAAAGGTGCATAAGTATGTTTGTAAGGTATATTAAAATGTCATTTCGACAGAGCACATTTACAATTCATTGTAAACTGGTTTGAGATCGGTAATATAAAAATCATTTTATACATACCTTGTGATCAGCTGATTCAGTCACCAACATTTTGATCGATTGTGGCTGTTTTTCTTTTGTTTAATTAATGTTTATTATTTTTCCATAAAAGCCTAGCTCATTATATAACAAACAAAATATAAATCCACATTTCAAACGTAAATATTTAACACATGTAATTAAAAAAAAAAATACTATTTTAAAGCTTAAATTAACGACAGTTGTCAAACAAATATGCAGTTGCTAATTTGAAAGAATTTGATAGAGTTTACGTAAAAAAGTTATATAAAACTTATTGTAAAATTTGTCTATAATCTTTTAGATGCATATATATGTAAATCTATGCATATGAACATATGTATCTTTGCCTATACTAATTGCATATGTATGTACATATGTGTTTTAAACAATAATCTAAATGCGCAAATTCGATTTTTTTTTTTTACTTATTGATCGCTGTAAGTTCGACATCTTCAACATTATGAGATCCCCTATCGTACCACCATCTCAAAATTATGGTGCGCCTGCGTCGTACAACAACGAATATCAACAAAATGAATACACCCTGCAGGCCATTAACCATTTCCATGACCATAAGATAGGCTTCTGGGCCAGGTGAATAGAATGTAACGATTTCCAAAAGCCAAGACACTATAAGAATAACGCCCAAGAAGCTTATGCATTTGGCACTAGAAAAGAAAAAGTGAAACTATAGTGGAGTGGAAAACGGTTAAGGTTTTTGCACTTACTCTTTTTTTACTTCTTCATACTTCATTTCATCGATTTCTGTAGCTACATTCGTATAAAGCGTTCCATTTTTACTACTATTTTTGGCTGATGTATCTGATTTACGCTTCTTAATCCTTTGAAAACCGAAGAAGGATATCATCATCACGATAAATGATAAGAAAAGAAATGAGGATACTGGCGGTATGAAGTAACGTTGAGACTCGCGAATGGCTGAAAAGTGATAGAAGTGAATGTATGTAAATACATATTTTTTAAATACTTCCAACTTAATAATACTTTAGTATGATTTAAGTATCTACGTGCGTAATTTCATTCCTATTTATTTTTTATATTTTTTTCGATGTTAAATTCGTCGAAATTTCATTCCGAAAAACTTACACGCTGTCAAACCCTGCATAAAGTAGGATGGCATACCGGGTAATCCTTTATGCACAGTCATAGCAACTAATGATCCTGCTATGGTGCAACAGATTAAAAGATTTACGCCAAAAACCAACCACGTTTGTACTTTCGTACGCCTTTTGTTCATTGGGATTCGATACCTAAATTTTGCGAAGTAAACAGAAAATTTGTAAATCCAATTTAGCTCAAACATCTAATTATTAAACTCCTCTAACATACCAAATATTCACCAGTACATTCCAGCAGAGACAAAAGAACCATATAAAGTAGGATAACATAAAAAATTGTATCACGTAACCCGTATTCTTGGAATCAATCTTGAAAATATGCACCAACGAGTGAAGAAAATAGCCCATTGCCAAGCACATTGACAACAGACTCAAACACAGGCCATGCACTGTACGCAGTTCTTTCAGTCTTATATGCAAGTAGCTGACAATCAATAAACATGGTATGGACACGAGCATGAGGGCGGCAATGGCAATCATTTGACCACGCTTCAAATGTTCCTCAATAGCTGTAATGCAGGTGATGGCATAGGTTATGCCGGACACATTGTCCATATCGAGGCAATAGTATTTTTCCACTGTGTAACTGTCGTTTCCATATTTGTCCATGATGAGCAGTGAGCCATCTTGTAAAACCAAAAATGTATCATCTTCGTCATTGTAAATTAAGGACCTTTGAGAAATGGGATTAAAAGATTGAAAGTTATGAAATCGAAAGGAAGAATAGTTAAAACTAATAAAATTTATAGATCGATAAAGGTATAAAATACAACCTATATATCGATAAACACTTCGACACGATAAAAGTAATTATTTCTATAAAAGTATCGAAAAAATATTGATAATTATGACACATGCATATATCAATAGGGAATGAACAGCTCGAAAAGAACAATAGTTAATATAGAAAAGGTTTATGGTAGAGGTTTTTTTAAAAGTCGACTGTCCGCCTATTCGGTTAGTCGAATTGTCGATTAGCAATTTTTTGTATCGATTTATAGTCGAATGGCAATTATTCGATTAACCACTTTTGTTAATCGATTAGTCGTATCTTCAATTAACAAGAGTTCTAGTTTATGATCGGATAAATTATATAAAATTCAGTCGGTAAAAATAAATAAATCGGTAGCAATGTCGATAAATTTATGGATGAACACTTCCACGCAATAGCTGTACATATACTATCTATAACAAGTAAGAAAGTCTAAGTTCGGGCGGAGCCGAACATTAAATACCCGGCGCACATTTTAAATATATGATTTTCACCTTTCCGAAAGCTACCGCTACATGGTAAGCCGGGGTGTATCAATTTTGAGTAAATTAGCGTCCTTAAATTTCAAAATATTGACGTTTCAAGCATTTCTAAAATTTACCGTTATATGAAAAGCCATAATTTTAGTCCGATTTCAGTAATTTTCATCGTTTCGCTTTTATGTAGCAAGCACAATAAAAATACCGAGTTTGGTACAAATTGGTAGAACGGTTACCGAGATACATATATGTGATCATAAGTGGGCGGTGCCACGCCCATTTTCCAAAATTTTATTATAGACGTATTTCCTGGTAAGGAATTGTTGCAAGCATCAATTTTGAATAAATTGGCTTTAATATTTACTGATTTATCGAAGATTTCGTATTTCTCCAAATTACCGTTATATGAGATGTGGGCGTGGTTATTGTCCGATTTTAAAAATTTTCGGCCATTTGGTATCCTGTACCAAGGCTAATAACTGTGCCAAGTTTGGAAAAAATCGGTGCAGCGGTTGCCAAGATATACACATGAAACCATAAGTGGGCGTGGCTACGCCCATTTTTCAAAAATTTATAACATTCTTATTTTTCGTCTGAAAATTATTGTAAATATCAATTTTGAGTTAATAATCTTCCGTAGTTACTAAATATCGCAGTTTTCGTATTTCTGAAAATTACCGTTATATGGGAGGTAGGCGTGGTTATTGTCCGATTTGGCCCATTTTCAATACCGTCCGTCCTACGCCCGAAAGAAGTACACGTACCAAGTTTCGTTAAGATATCTTAATTTTTACTCGAGTTATCGTGTGCACAGACGGACGGACAGACGGACGGACGGACGGACGGACAGACAGTCACCGCTTAATCGATTTCTCTTTTCATCCTGATCATTTATGTATACATTTGTCTATATCTATCTCGATTCGTTTTGCCTGTTACAAACAACCGTTATGTGAACAAAGTTATAATACCCTTGTGCACAAGTGCGCTCGGGTATAAAAATATTGAAAACGTATAAATAACTATCTTAGTTATACTCTTCGGAGGAGGTTTCTAAGAGATTGCCACTTTTTACAGATTTTTTTTAAGGAAAAACCATTGTGTTTTTATTGTTATCGTCAGTCTTTTTTGTCGATATTGCTATCGGTATTATCAACAGTATTTTTTATCGATATCGCTATCGTGTCTCCCAAATCCCTTTCCCTATTTGCGTACTTACCCAGGCAATGGCATTGTACTGTAACCTTACAGATGTTAAATATTTCAATGCTTGTAACAGTGAAATCGGAAAATGCTAAGCAGATTTCATCAGCAACAGCAATGCCAAGACCAGAGCTAAATGTTAGTTGCTAAATCCGACCATATTTCCCATTAAAAACTTGTTGATGTTATGAGATTCGAACCCAGACCTGTTGCCTAATACGCATCGCTCATTAAATTAAAGTACTGTTCACTTAACTTAGCACAGTGGCAAAGTAAAGTATGTAAAAGAAATGGAAAGTTGCTGAGGTTAACTTAACATTTAGAGTTGACTAACCAGGTAAATGTTAACAGCGCAAATTACTCCTCTTCTTTTATGTATAGTATATATTGCGGACACTAACCACGCACACCTACATACATACGTACATATACATATATCATATGAATGTAAAAAGAAACTTTACCTAATATTGCAGGCACAATTTTTGGATTTTTTTTCTTGTCATGCATTTTTTATCATTTAAATCGCCCCCTATTTTAGATAGTCATGAAAGTATTTATGTACACAGTTTACTTACGAATTGCAGGGATTCCCAATTTCATACTGCAACTCCACCACAGCCTCATCATCCTCAATACAATTGTCATATAGAATTGCGCTTATAATACTGGGCTCAAAATGAAAATTTGTCGAATCGCAAAATTCATCGGTTTGATTCTCACGGAAAATACTTAAGCCCTCGCCATGGGGGCAGCATTTCTTCAGTCTCGAATTTTTAGTATGTAGCGGCTGTTCCGCTTTCTTATTGCGTTGGGAGCAGTCCTCGGGCACAGCAATGCTTTTCACATTTTGTAAAGGCACATCTGTGCTAGTGCGATAGTTTGAAGCTTCATCCGCTGCTGCAGACTCAATCGAATTTCTATTAAAAATAAAAAATAAAAATTAGAATAATTTAAAGTATAGTCAGGTTGAGGCCACGCAATGAGCGGCAAAGCGGCAAGCGCCTCAACGGCTGAGCGGCGTCATACAAAAATGCCGCTCAGCCGCTCAGAAATGCCGCTCACAGCATGGCCACTTCAATAGTATCTCATATGTTTTAATTAAGCCGCAGCCGCTCAGCCGCTCGCCGCTTTGCCGCTCATTGCGTGGCCTCGGACTTAGTCGTGTATATCGTCGCCTGGGTAAAATATTGTCGTATGTTGATTTCGGCAGGTTGTGGGAAATCGCGATTGAAGTTTGGAATGCAATTTCTCAAAAACGCGAAGATAGATTTTCTCCAAAGTCTCTGAAAATGTTACTAGTTCACAAAATTCTTAAATTATTTAGTTTTTAATGTTTATTGTTAATTAGTCTTGAGTTTATGAAGAATTTTTCTTAGTCAAATTTTGTCGTAAGCGTCACTTGTCCACAGTTTGGCAGCCACTTTGTATGAAATACTCAATATCTCGGAAACTAAAGGAGATATCCAAAAATGGAGAACGCCATTTTTAAGATATTGATTAGTTTAATATGACTGCATCACCAACTAAATTTTTACTAAATTATCGAAAAAGTTGTTGTAGTCAATATCTCTTAAACTAAAGGAGATATCTAAAAAACTGATAACACCAATCGAAAGACTTTATTTCAAAATATATAACTGCATCTAGAACTAAAAATCGTCAAAATGGCGCTTACAACAATCTTTTACCCAGGCGACGATATGTACAAACATACATAGGTATGTAAGTTGTTGTCAGTGTTGCCAGGTCTTCGGCATGAGAAAACGGCCCTCTTGGTCTGAAAAAAACGTAATTTTCTACCCAAAAACCTCTTTTTCAAATGTATGCACACAGAATTGTTCTTATTAAACTTTTATTGTATACAAAGGTGCATAAGTATGTTTGTAAGGTATATTAAAATGTCATTTCGACAGAGCACATTTACAATTCATTGTAAACTGGTTTGAGATCGGTAATATAAAAATCATTTTATACATACCTTGTGATCAGCTGATTCAGTCACCAACATTTTGATCGATTGTGGCTGTTTTTCTTTTGTTTAATTAATGTTTATTATTTTTCCATAAAAGCCTAGCTCATTATATAACAAACAAAATATAAATCCACATTTCAAACGTAAATATTTAACACATGTAATTAAAAAAAAAAATACTATTTTAAAGCTTAAATTAACGACAGTTGTCAAACAAATATGCAGTTGCTAATTTGAAAGAATTTGATAGAGTTTACGTAAAAAAGTTATATAAAACTTATTGTAAAATTTGTCTATAATCTTTTAGATGCATATATATGTAAATCTATGCATATGAACATATGTATCTTTGCCTATACTAATTGCATATGTATGTACATATGTGTTTTAAACAATAATCTAAATGCGCAAATTCGATTTTTTTTTTTT